TCCGGCATTGGTAAGATTGAACCAACATTGAAGCTAAAAAGGAAAAAAATTATTAATCTTCCCCGAATGCAACTGTACGTAACAAATAACCTAACTTACTTTCCCCTTTCTAGGTATTCTTTTTCATGCTAACAGGCAGACTGGTGATAGATTGGCAACTGAGACGAGAGGACGCGCAACCGATAACGGCGAATGGCGTAGACGATAAAACCAAGAAGCAAGATTGAATTCGAAATTTCTATTTACGTATTTGCACGATTAAGATCATCGTCCCTGACCGATCGTCACGTCAGTTATCGCCTAATAGTCGCGTTAAAAAATAACTTTCCATAATGACACGCGCGACTTTTGTCTTTTGTCTTTCGTTCGATTTTCAATCTCTTATGATTCATTCTCCATCCATATTCTCCATCATATGCTTCAATATGCCCTGTTGTTTCGCAACAACCTGTTTCTTTCTTTGCGCATGTTCAAATTGACCTGAACTTCACTTGTCGGGAAACGTGTTCCGAATTCTGAGAATCTCGAAAATTATAAATTTCTATCGTGTCCACCACGTTTAACGTTAACCAAAAATGTCGTTTTAAACGCAAAAATGTCGACAAAGAACGATACTAAGTACTAGCTCAAGCATAAGATGTAATATCAACTGCCATTCGAATCAATGTGTTCTTCTTAATGTCGTGTAGAAACGATAGAGAAACGATAAACGCCCTCGGACGATAAACACTGAAACAACGTCGCATTATAACGCACACGCGTGCTTTCTTCGTATCTGTATTTTTACATTTTTCTTTCTCGTCGAGAGAGGGAAAACACGTATTCGAACCGCGTGAAACGAACCGAATGAAAACAACGTACAAATTGAAAATTACAAATCGTACAAATAGTTGAAGCAATAATAACAAGCTTTGTATCATCCGTCATTGAACCACCAAACCACCTGTTGTTGTAAGACCTATAATTCTTTTTCTAGTCGTAGACCATCTGTTTAAGCAGAACGACATGTGTAACATTCGTCAATCGTATATTTATCTTCCAAGTAGTATTTATCTATATCGTACAAGTTCGTTCACGATCAATAACGAGATCAATAATGACAAGTTGAGCCGAGTACATCTGCGAGGTATTGTAATACAAAAATAAAGATAGCGAAGAAACACGTGGTAAGAAGGCATATTCGTGTGTATGTACAGTGATACTTTTGTTGCAACATTAAAACGCTATTAATCGCGCGAAATTACGAAGAAACCATTCGAGAATCTTGCACACCCACCTGTCCGCACACGTTGTAAAAAAAACTAAATGATTCAACCAACGTTCTAAAACGACTAAAATAGAAAAAAGAAAAAATTTCATCGTCTCGGTCCGAATTACTCGTCCGAATTAGAATCCACTTCAGACTATTATTTCTTCTTTTTTTCTTTTTCAATGTGAAAATCTTCTTTATTAATTAATGTACGATAACTTGTTCGCTCGTATAAAATTCAACAATGTGCGTGTACACGCGCGCACGTATCCATGCATACATGGCATGCATATATATATATATATACACATACACGTACGTATGTATACATGCATATGTATATTTCGAAATTACTACATCAATCATTACGGTAATAACAATATAATAACGTTAATTTTAGACATCTCTATAAAGCAAATTTATAATTCAAAAATATCTTTAATTTCGCGTGGCTGTAATAATGTAACAATCCAAATAAATAACTTGTTATTTTTACTTTCGCATCAATTAATTTTAAAATTACGCTACTGTTTCGTCGACATTTTCAAGCTTAATTCTAATCACTCTGGTTCTTGACCGGTGGTTAAAAGATGCAAAGCCTTTCGAAGATTCAATATAGCTGTCGGTACATCGTCGTAATTTAAAGCACTTCCAGCCCATTTAATAAATTTCTGTGCTTTGCCAATTTCCTCCGCTGACAATTCAACTCCACCTGTTAAATACATATGGTTAATGCAACGATACATAATTCCCGTTGAACCTCAATTTACTTTCCCTCAATTTACTTTCTGTTTTTGGAATGCTGTTGGAATCCTTATCGTCCAAAGACCGTTCGTCGATATTTTGTTTAACCGTTGCACCGTGTACCGTCGTATCGGATGGGTTAGAAGTAACGTCCGACTCGTCTGCATTTAACGTATCTACTCTTTTTGCCTCTGCCATCCCATCGATCAAGTTTGTCATGAAAAAGATGAAATGAAAATTGTACGTCTTTGTTATTATTACGAGAAGAAAAAATAGGAAAAAGTACGATGCGCAATTACGCGCGCATCTCTGTATCTACATACACTTTCTTACATGCTATTATATTCGCTTTCTTTCTTTACCTTCTTCCATATTTTTATTCAAATCAGCATCCTCGTTATCCTCTTGCATGGGTCCTGGAATAGGCGTTTCGTTGTTCTTTATGCAATTGTGAATGTACGCAGCCTTCCATTTGGCATATTTCCTATTTTGCGTAGCCTCTTCGTTGAGTTCCCCAAACACGGTCAACACGTCGTAAAGTAATCCGGCTGTAAAAAAGCTTTGCACTACGTTCTTCCCAAAATTACCAGCTCTGTCATTCTTATCTGCAAAAAGAAAGAGCTTCAACGCCCAATTCTCCAAATGAGCCTGAGCAGCTATATCATTTGTAACAGCTTCGTTGTCGTGCAATTCCTTTTTAGTTGTTTCTAACCAATCCATCAATTTCATCAAGAAGTTTGTTTCTTTTGGCGTTTTGGTCGACAACTTTAATCCCGTTTGAAGAGCATATAATCGACCTGTAACAAATATTGGTCATTCCAAATTCAAAGTCGCGTGACTTTGACTTTAACATAACAATTGTTCTTTGTACGATAATTTAAATACATACACCAATAACTAACAACGGGATCTCGTTGGTCATGATTCGAAGCTATCTTTAAATAGTGCTGTACACTTTTCAAGGGTAGTGGTATCTCTGGTAAATCCGGATCGATCATGTTGATCACTACTGTTTTTTTCACGTAAATTATCTCTTTTCTTTTACTTCGAAAACCTTTATTATACAGACCTCATTCCTTCTTTAAAATATACACTCGGCTTGTACGTCACAGTTTTCTCACCTGTAGGATTTCATGCAGTAAGAAGAAAAAACAATATCCGGGTTCGTCGAACGAACGGTATAGCAAAGTCGTTCTTTTTAAATACAACTTTTTAAAAAATCATCGAAATAATAATCAGCAAATCTCTTGTCTCAGATACGTTTCAACAACTTACTCTTTCACTTTATGCCGACTATTGCAACATGCGACGATATCAATTCTTCTCGTTACATCGTCAATTGATCGACATCGTACCACCAGTGATGTTCGTAAAACATCAACGATCGGGATTAAAAGAAATTATGATAAAAAAATGCGTAAAAAAATGCGTTCAATATTATACAAAGTTTGATTTATTCTCGCTGTTATATCGTGTCAATTCCGTTGGATGAAATCTTTTGAATAATATTGGATATCGTCAATGAAGGAGAAATAAATATATACGTATGAAAAAGTAGTCATGAGAACGCGACACAAGTTACCAGCATAAGTAGCTACAGTATCGATATATACGTGTCAGCTTTGTATTTCATAATTTAAAGATGGTAGCTATCGCGATGGGAAACGCGATGCTTCCGTACTGTTAGTCTTATTTATGGTTTTCTGAATATCTCTACTACCGTTGGTATTCCTTAATTTAAGAAGGAATATATTTTTAACCTCTCTTCTTACATCAAAAGAGAATGGAACAATGATGTTCAAGAGAATTTTAACATTACGCACACCGAACAGTTTACCTTTCTTAACGACGAGTAAGTTCTATCTTTTTAATTTAGCAATCTATTTATTATTAATTAAGATAGTTTTATCCTCTTTCAAATTGATACGATATATTTCACTGCACCGTAATGTTATTAAAATAATCCTTTGAAGAAAAGTTTTGACACAGGTATTTCATCGCCATCCAAGGTTGTATCTCGAACATGGTCAGAACATAACACGGACATAAACATAGACATTGTGGAGAAATGGGACTTGTTAAGTGCTGTTTGCTTAGAACGTCATCCGGTAGTTACAAAGTCTATGCTGGATATAGAAACTAGGTACCACAAGATGCTGCAGCAGGCGGAGTTTGAGAACAGCATGACATCAGATTTTGAAATGCAAAAGCAAAACAATAAAGTTCGAAAGACGATACAAGATTTCGAAGATTCTTGGGAACAGGAATTAACAAACTTTAAACTCGCTGAGAGAATAAGTAGTACGCACGTCCGAGACTTTGACTTTTTAAATGATTTAGCTGCGATTAACTCGCACTTACGTTTAATTCGCTCAAACCGTAGAAAATGAAGAGGACAACGCGGTTGCGTCATTGAGACGAAAGTTGGATAAAAATTTAGTATTACTGGTAGAACAAAAAATTGGTGATTCCAATTTCTGGATCCCTCCGCAAAGTATAAGAAAACACAGAGAAACTATGATACAAGTAAGAATTATGCGATGTTTTTCGTTTTTATTTCACGAGTAGTAGCTCAATTACCAGAACGATATTTCTCTCCACGGCTTTAGACTGCACGTAGAACTATACAAGAATTTTGTGGGAATAATATCAAAGTCAAATTCTACGGTAACGCACCAATTGGATTTTATCAATATAAATATCCGAAAAATTTACAAGAGAAAGGCCAAAATGGAGCAAAAATTTTTTATTTCTTAGCAAAATACATAAGCGGAGATATTTCTCCCGATATAAAACACTGCTGGTTAGATAGAGAGGAACTTAAAAAAAACCTACATCCTGATCTTCATAAAAGTTTGATTCAATTCTTATTACCCGATTAATTTGTTGCTGTATAAAGTAGAGAATTTTTGAATACATACGTGATTTGTCAAATATTTGTTAAATATCCGTTTGTATGATAAATATTCAAATTATAAATTTTTATTTCCTCGACGCAACTTTTTTTCTCCTAATATGTAATTAATTTAGCGTACTTTGCGTTGCGTAATTTCTATCGCACTAACCGTCGACAGCTTTTTATTCCTATTTTACCTATTACTCTTTTTACATATTTACAATTACGTGATCCAAGTATTCCGTATTGACAGATACAGATTTCACAAGTAATTTCTTTTTGAAGTATAAGCATAAAAAATATCTTGCGTACAAATTATTTTAATATATATATATGTATATATATACACTTATTTTCTCAATGTCGGAAGTCTAGTATTCGCGAAAAACAGACAAATATTTGTTGTTAAAATCTTCCACATCTTCTTCTTCCAGTATATTTTGAATCTTCTGGAACTTTCTTTCCTTGTTTTCTACGTCTTTCTTTCTTTTCGATTATCCAATCTTTGCTACTCTTCATGTATTTACCTTTAGCTTTTCTCATCTGTTCTCTGAAACGGTAAGATCAACGACCAACGATAATTGAACGACACTACGAAGATTAACGTTAAAAATTTAATCGGATGTAACATAAATGAAAACAACGTGAAACTAACCTTCTAGATGCGTACGGGACAACCGAATCAGTTTCATTAACGCCTAAAGCTCTTGGAAGAACGGTAGTTCCTCCAGTCATTAAAACCAAAAAATATTTTTTCGCTTTGGTACTGTTTGGAAAATCTACGACGACACCTCCGTAAAAACCTGCTTTTGTCGCTTGTGTTGTAACTAATTGGATCTGTTCGTTATTTTCGGGATAGAATTGAAACACAGCTCTGGCTGATCGCGATAAACATGAAAATAGAGTGGAAAAGAATTTGTACAATCGTTTCGGTGGATCATGAGAATTCTTATCTGCGTTACACAACCATTGTAATGCAGAAATACTAATTGCTCCGTCAAAAGTTCCTGCTTTAAACGGCATTCCTTGACCCATATCCCCTAAAATCAAATCTCCATCTACCTCCTCCCTTTCTAGCGCCACACCTGTTGTCGAATACATTCACACGATTAAAATTATGCAAATACATCGTACGAAAAATATCAGATTTTCAGAAGACTCGCCAAGCATTGCGGAAGATATATCGATCCCTATCCATTCGTGTTCATACTCTTTGATCACACTGCCACTCAAGCCAGAACCACATCCAACATCTAAGAGTAAATGCGCCGTATTCTCCGGCAGTAGAAGAAGTTCCATGGCGCGTCTACACATTTGATTCTGTATATCTATCATTCGAGAACTACGGAAAACAAATTCACTTACATTTACTTAAAGCCAGATTATATATTCTTATTATCGAGAAATATATCACGACTAAATATATCCTGATCTTAGGAGATCAAAAATTATTTACCCTTCTTTTCTGATAATCTGGTAAATTTCCACGAGCCGAGACCAAAAATGCAAAGATCGAAAGTTAACTTGTAAAAGCAAATGATTTTAATGTATTTTTTATCATTTTTTTTTTGCCATCATTTCTCGCGTTATCGATGTAGCATTCCCTTTGGAAAATAAGGTATCTTAGAAGCATCGTTTCGCTCAAGTTCATATAGATTGGTCGTCGAATAATTATATTAAAAATATTTAGGTTTTAACTTTTAAACTCTTTTCGTAAATGTTATTTCTGTCTAAAGAAACACTCGCGAACCAATAACATTATGCATAAAATCTTACATGATGGGTCGCGCTAACCTAAAAACCATGCTAAAAATGTTTCACTTTCGTATAACTTCTAAACCAACGCTTAGCTTGCATCTGCAAAACTTGCATTTTGATCTCAGCTCGTCGAATGCATTATTTAAAAAAATAGTGAATAATTTTTGAAGTCTCGAAGAAAAAAGATTTAACTCGGCATAACCTAAACCTAGCCTAAATCTATACCGTTAATAGAAATCTTACTTTTGGGTATATTTACGAGCTTCGGTTTCATCATAAAACTGCAATAAGAAAGAAAAAAAACAGATGAAAATTTAGTTTACACAATCATTTAAAAGTTCATTCTTACCAGTTCTGGTGGAGCTAAATGTTCCGGACGTCTCGATGACATTTTGTATTATTTTCTGAAATGTTCCTCGCTTTTCGCTCTAAATTATTTACACTTGACACAATGCTATACAGAGTATAACATTATACTACTACTTATATACTGCACGTGTTCAAATAATTTCTGACGCTTTTTTCTATATTGTGCATTTACGAATGAATGCTTCTTCGTTCCCCACTCCGACAAATTCATGCTCCTTTGTTTGTTATTAAACCCAATGAAATTTGACCAAATATATTTTAAATAAATTATTTTTATATTGTTAAATTAACGATATAGCGATAAAAAAAAATTTGTACGTAATTTACCTCACTTTACGTCCAATCGACAAATGTATTTGCTGATACGAGTAACTTTATATTTACACTTTATACGCTAATTGTAAACTGTATTGCAATATAAATTTTAACAGAAGTAAGTTTTTCAGTAATTTTGCTACTATATACATATAATCACTATACATAG